GATCACCACCAGTTTCCCTCCTTTCCGCCTCCTTCTCCCATATCATCAACTCAGTTTCGTCCCGTGGCCCGCCATAGCCCCCTACTGGCCCAATACGTTTTGCGTGAACTGCCGACGTAGCGGCGGACAGAGAACTTTGGAATTCTGAAGGCCCAACCCAGGCGCGCGGCGATCTGCGCCATGTGGCGGCCCCCGACGGCCTAACTTTTCAAGACCACCCCCACCACGGAGGGACTTCCCCGTAACCCGTCACCCACAGTGCCCCGGCCCCACCAGACTGTGAGTCCCTTGCGCACGCACCCGTGACTCGCCTAATTGCATTCATACCCTTAAGACTCCCCCACTTTCCCCAAAATTCCTTGGCACACCCCTTTTCGCACTTCCAGGCCCACATCCCACTCCGATCAGGAAGTCGCGCCGGGCGTGAGGTGGGGCGTCACAGCGTAAGGAATTCTTATCTGGGGCCCAGATTGCGAACTTGTACCACAGCGAGGTCAGCACCACGTTGTTGGTTATCAGGGAGCGCCCAAACAACGAGGTGTGTTTGTCTTTCCAGAGTGTCATTTTTGCTAGTGGTGGGTTTGCAATCCAATCGTTGTTGGTGGATGGTATGCGTTATGTCGTCATCGATATGCCCATCACTCTAATGGGGGCTTCTTTGGCGAGCCATTTGAGCCTGGGTTGTTCTGGAGGTCTCACTCCTCGGTGGTGGATTCACCATCCTTGGGTTTTGTTTCCCGAGTTAACTGTCATATCTGACAGTTTGCAGAATCGATTCATCATATATTGTACCTCCTCCATTGATTCCTTGGAAGCGTCCACCATCAGAGTCAGATCGTCTGCAAACAATGAACAGACTGGGATTGTCTCCTCAGGTATTGCGGATACTTGAATTCTTTTGATATCCTTATGTGTTCTCAGGTTGGTTGTTAATGCTTCCATAACTATTACAAAAAGGTATTGGGCTATGGGGTCCCCCTGTGTTGACTGATCTCTGAAGATTGATGGGGGGGGGGCAGGTTGTCGTTCATCATGACCCTGGTTGCTGCATTTGAGTGAAGAATCATTATCCATCGTCTAAAATCAGGTTCAAAGTTGAGTTTTTCCAGACACCTATCTAGGAAAAATTAGTCTACATGATCATATGCTTTTTCAAAATCGATAAAGATGATAACTGCGTTATTCTTTGATTGTCTGGATAGCTTAATCATCTCGTAACCAGGAGGATATTGTCCTGGATATCCCTACCTTGAATGAATCCAGTTTGGTCAGGGTGAATAATATCCACCATTACTGGTGTCATGCGGTTGGTCAATGATTTAGCCATCATCTTGTGGACCACTGTGAGCAGGGTGATAGGTCTGTAGTTTCTGATATTCGTGCGTTCCCTTTTTTTGTAAAGGAGCATCAACATTCCTTGCCCCACCAACTCCCCTGTCTGTCTTGTGGCCCAAACCTCATGGTAATATTCTATGAGGTCTTGCGAGATGTTTGTCCACATCGATTCCCAGAATTCCTTGGGGAGCCGATCTATACCTGGAGTTTTTTCCTCTTCCATTTGCATCAATGTTATTCATATTTCCTTCTTCGATAAGGGTAAAACTAGTCTACATGATCATATGTTTTTTCAAAATCGATAAAGATGATAGCTGCGTTATTTTTTTATTGTCTGGATAGCTTAATTATCTCGTTAACCAGGAGGATGTTGTCCAAGATATTCCTACCTTGAATGAATCCAGTTTGGTCAGGGTGAATAATATCCACCATTACTGGTGTCATGCGGTTGGTCAGTGATTTAGCCATCATCTTGTAGACCACTATGAGCAGGGTGATAGGTCTGTAGTTTCTGATATTCGTGCGTTCCCCTTTTTGGTAAAAGAGCGTCAACATCCCTTGCCCCACCAACTCCCCTGTCTGTCTTGTGGCCCAAACCTCATGGTAATATTCCATGAGGTCTCGCGAGATGTTTGCCCACATCGATTCCCAGAATTCCTTGGGGAGCCCATCTATACCTGGAGTTTTTTCCTCTTCCATTTGCATCAATGTTGTTCATATTTCCTCCTTCGATAGGGGTAAAACTATATGCTTTTTCAAAATTGATAAAGATGATAGCTGCGTTATTCTTTGATTGTTTGGATAACTTAATCATCTCGTTAACCAGGAGGATGTTGTCCTGGATATTCCTACCTTGAATGAATCCAGTTTGGTCAGGGTGAATAATATCCACCATTACTGGTGCCATGCGGTTGGTCAGTGATTTAGCCATCATCTTGTCGACCAATGTGAGCAGGGTGATAGTTCTGTAGTTTTGGATATTCGTGCGTTCCCCTTTTTTGTAAAGGAGCGTCAACATCCCTTGCCTCACCAACTCCCCTGTCTGTCTTGTGGCCCAAACCTCATGGTAATATTCCATGAGGTCTTGTGCGATGTTTGCCCACATCGATTCCCAGAATTCCTTAGGGAGCCCATCTATACCTGGAGTTTTTTCCTCTTCCATTTGCATCAATGTTGTTCATATTTCCTCCTTCGATAGGGGTCTATCTAAACTATCTTTTTGTTGCTCTGTGAGAGTTTTGTTGAGTGGGTTCAAGAAGTCTTTGATTTCCTCCAAGCGTTGTGACTTAGGTTGATTCTCACATTCTGATGTAAACAAGGTCTGATAGAAATCCCTTGCTATTTTTGTG